TTTAACATAAGTGTCATTTTATCGTTTATTGGGATTTTTATAAAGTGCAGAGCAGCTTAAAAATCGGACGGCCATCCTGTTTACACCAAGCTTCTTTTGGAGCTTAATATTGGTAGTCTAGTTCTATATGGTGGGAGCTTAATACATTTTTAAAGTGCCAAAAGTCTCAAGACAGCAAGCTTGCAGAAATAACCATGTATGTTTAAATGGACGAGGGATAGATGTGTGAGGGGCTATTTAATTGAACACCAACATAAGTAATCAAATTAAACGTCGCGTAAGTGTCAAAACGGCAGTGCTTGTTTTTTCTCTATAAAATTAGCCTAACGGTCGGCGGTACTGTTACATGACGTCATGCGCGAGCGTTAACTCGATGACGGTGTGCTAAGTGGGGGATGAAAAGGTGGGGGTTCAAGAAATGCGACTCAGCATGCTTTTTACATTTCTTGACCCTTCTTAATAGTTCTGTCGTCCCCACTGAGAAAATGGATCACAAATGAATGACTTGTCACACTTCTACAGCTGGTCTTTCTCCCACAACCTGCCGTTTTCAGAAAAAAAAACCTGACCCGTCTCAAAACCACATCGCTGAGTTCTACTCAGCCTCTCCCCACCACAAATCACAATTTCTATCTGAAACAATATGTTCATGTTTGTTCTGTAATAATGCACGCTGTCATTACTAACTTAAGAGCGACGTCATTTATGGGCGATCTAATATTGATTTGATTACTCATTACTGCAAATAAAGTGTTTAAAAGTTCGACCTCCCAACAATATGTGGTCTTGGATGCACACTATTAAGTCTGAAAAGGTCTATTAGTCATTCATGTCAACTATATTGAAAAAAAAAAGAAAAATTACTATACAGGCATATATTAAAACAATACAAAACAACCATATTAAACCACAAAATCAACACAACAGACATGTGAATAGACAAAGTTTCAATAGAAACTACTCTATTATTTGTTTTTGAAACATGGTAGCTGCTTGTATTTACTCATTGTTGTCTCGAACAGGGTAGTTTAAAGTTTATTCCAGGATATTTTTGACTGGTTTGGTCATGGATTGTGATTTTCTATTCAATTATCTGTTATATTATGTAAAATATGTCATAAATAAAAAGTTACGTTGGAATTTACGAGGCTAAACTAAGGTTTTACCTCTTATAACTTATAGATCTAGACTACCAAAGATTTATTTTGTTATTGTGTTAAGTGTAGTGTTAATCATTAAAAATTAGAAACTACATTAGTAAAATTATTCTAGATTAATCTAGATCTCTAGATTCTATCTAGATCTAATATAGATCTAGTAATAATTAGTAATATTGTCTAATAGGCCTAGATCTATATAATAAAATATTGTTTAATAAAATTTCTAAAGATAGTCATAGTAGAGATAGATCTAGGGTAATCTATCGTTTTAGCGTAATCAATTCGGCCGTCACTAGTAATGTAGGGATAAGGTAACTAATAAATATGGCTTAAATATGAATAAATGTTTGCATATTCTACTTAAATACTAAAGATAATTGAATATTAAACCACATTTAAGGGTTAAATCAATAAAAATGTCATGAAATTAAGGTTTAACAGCGATGTTCCAGATACTAAATTTGCTATTAAAAACAGCGGCCATCTTAAGAAAATATTATTTTGAGTCATTTCCCTTTAATTTCTATTTGTATGGAACTGTATTGATGTTTGCTATTAAATACGTTAATCTTGTGTTTAAATACAAAGCATGCGTTTTTTTTTAAATTCTGCCCTTTAAACAATTTAATTGACTGACAATAAACATCTGTTCTAGAATTATTATTATGAGATGCAATTTTTATACATTAAGATACTCCCTTTTTTTAATAGAGCTACCACTACATATCTAATGTTTATTTAAATATTAGTTTGAGTTAATTCTTATTGTTTGTGTAATTGTTTGTTTGCTATTTTCATTTAATATGTTCATGCTTTTTCCTTTAATTAGTGATTTAATCATAAATGACGTCCCTTTTTTTGACCTCTCTTACCTTAACCCCCCCCCCCCCCCCCCACCCCCCATTTTCGCCGTCACGAAATAGTCGTAATGTCGAAAATAACCTTTTTGCCCTGTCTATTAAAAAGTCAAGCCATAATTCTAATGAAAAAGATATTTTCAGCATTTTTGTATTAGGCGAAATACTTAACGTCTCACGTTTCTTACCCCTCCCACTTCCCGCGTAAAACGTCGTCTCAAAACCAGTTACTCCACCCCTTAAGTGTGCGATGTCATTTATGGTAGATGTCAAGTCCTATATACATTTTGAATAACCTTTGTTGTCAAAATGTTGATACCAAATACCCAAAATGAGTTATATTATTTATATGGGATTGTCCATAAACGATGCTATGCTAATGTGACGTCAACTTACGCAGGGTGGTCGGGGGGGGGGGGGGGGGGGGGGGGGAATCTTCTATAAAGCTGTGCTCAATGAAAATGAGGAACATAAAGCGTTCATTTTCATGCATACAGTTGTTCATAACGAATGATGATAACTATTGCATGCCTGTTGTCCTAAGCGGTGTTAAACAACCTCAGCACATCATCCCCGACAAAAAGGCCTGCCACTAAATGCCTACCGACGAAAATAGGCCGCACTATATTGACTCCAAATGAAATAACTTCTGACAACAAGGCTCAAACCAAGTAGCTCCTGGCAACAATATTCGACAAGAGTCCATGACAATTATTGACTAGCAGGTAAAATGGGACAAATCGAAAATTGAAAGTTTGTCGCCTCTGGGGGGGGGGGGGGGTGACACCAATAAGTGCCTCACCGGGTGACACTCGACCTCGCTACGCCACTGAGCTAATGTAAAGCCACAGCCCAGTATAGGCTTGAATTTAACATAAAATAGTGTGGACAGCCTCTAAGACTGTGCATTAGGAGTACGGCCGTCGGCAAAACGCCAGAGTCCGACGATATCTGAACATCAATTTTGTCTTTTATGAAGTGCGGAGCACCTTTAGCTTAAGACCTGAGCTTGGCCCCTGTTGACACCACCACTAGCGCCGCTTATGTCCACATATTAATCACACGTTTTGCGTGGAGCTTAATGGACAGACGTTTATAGGTGGGACCGGGAGCCTAAATGCAGTTACCGAAGCCGTTGTGTCAAGGGCATTTTAGAGCCGAACGTCTCAGGGCAGCATGTTGCAGAAATTAAAAGCACGTGAATTAGTATAGTAGAGGGAGAACATCATGTCACTGTAATAAATTAAACACCAATATAATTCACCGAACTAAAGTCATTTAGATCTATTCGTCAGGCTAAATGTCGCTAAAGTCTCATCGCCATATTCATTTAGTGCCTGTTTCGATTTTTTAAAATTACGCGGTATCTCTTTCTTAAACATTAGCCTAAAGACAAATGACGTCACGCGCGCCGCAAACTTTGTGACGTTGTGCTTAGTGGGGGATGAAACGGCGTGGTTGAGAAAAAAAATGACGTATTTCTTTTTTTTTTTAACAGACGAATAAGTAATAGATTCTAATTTTCCTACGAACTGTAGGTTGATCTAGTTTTTTTTTTTCTAGAGGGAGATATCACTATATTGTGATGGGGGGTTTATATATAATTCTCAATATATTCTGATCTACTACTATTCATACGGCAACTATTATACTCGAGAGGAGGACGGGAATCACTCTTATGTTCCGCAGACACTAATTAACAATGTCAACAACTTCGTTTATGAAATAACATGAACTTTATTAACACACACTTATAGGTCATTTGCACAATATCAAAAACAAAATACGTCCGTCTTCTACTATATCTAACCCCCAACTAACTTCACTGCTGCGTCTTACGTCATCGGTACATTGTCGCACCATGCTCACGTCACACTCACGCCACACATTTTATTAAACACGCGCATAATACTCTCGCACCAAATCGTCTACCGTCAAGTTCGTACCGTCCTTAGTAACCTGTACTCGTCTAGTCTAATTCTATATATCTACGCTATGACATATATAGTGGGTGTTTTTTTTTTGTTGTAATAATGGATGGTGGGGAGGGGTAAACATTGACTACTGAAGAAATCAAAAACTGATGACAGCAGAAGACTAAGAAAAAAAACCATGTGGTATTCAAATGTACTAATAAAAATTTGAACATATTTTTAAAAACACAATAATCTTAATTTAGAAAAAATGTAGGCCTAAGACTAATGTCTATAGACAAAATAAACAACTAGGCTTAATTAAATGGGTCGCCCATAAATGACGTCATACTTTTCCCGACGATTGCCCTCTCACCCAATAGTTGCTAAAAACAAGATGATGATTTAATATCATATCGCAGTTCTACTATACCCGAACCCTTAATCACAATTTCTAACGAAAACGAATATATTCTTCAGGGATGTATATTAAACAACAAAATCAACACAATATACATACGAATAGACATTTTCATCAAGGGAAACTACTCTAAATTTTATTTGGAAAGATGGCCGCTGTTTTTTTCTACTAATATTTATCTCGAACACCTAGTTTAAAGTTAGTTTCATGTTATTTAAATTGTTTTGGTCACTGATTGTTATTTTAAATCAATTATCTGTGATATTTTATAAAATTTGACTTAAATAAACTTATTTAAACAAATATATTCATCAGTTACCTCTCCCGCACATTACTATCTCAGCCGAATTGATTACGCTAAAACGATAGATTACCTAGATCTAGATTCTAGATAAAAATAGATCTAGATCTAGATTCTAGATCTAGATTTAGATCTGTCTACTCTAGATTTCTTGATCTAGTCAAGTCTATCTAGAATCTATTACTTATTAAGTATATTAAGTAGTTACTACTACTAGTAGTTACTATTAGTAATAATAACTAAACTATCTAATCTAGATTCTACTATCTCTAACAACTAGACTATCACAAATCTGTAAATCATCTAGAATCTAGATCTAGATCTAGATCTAGATCTAGCTAGACCTACCTGTGCGCCGCCACTATTCAAATGATTGAATATTAGTGAAGACAATGTTGAGTTATCTACAACTGAAAACATGACTAGATCTAGAATCTAGATCAAGGTTTCCTAATTTTTATTACTTCAGTGATAACTATAGATCTAGTTCTAGATTTCTAGATCTAGATCTAGCCGCTAGATCTAGATCTGGGATCTAACTTCTAAGACTGGATTCTAGACCTCTACTCTATATTGAATTGTACTATTATACCGCGTTTACACTTACGACATGTAGATCTAGAATGTATGTAGTATGTACTAATGTAGACTGAATCTAGATTAGATCTAGATTCTAGAATCTACATGTTCTGCGAACAAAATATTTCCAGATAAAAATTACTTTTGGTGGGTTTTGTGTTCAAGTAATGTATAGTGTATAATAGATCTCTAGATCCTAGAATTAATACTTAAACGTTCACATTTATTTACAGAACATTTTTTAAAAACAAACATGACCTTTGACCTGGAGCGACTGCTAATACTATATAGCAGGGGTCTCCAAACTACGGTCCGCGGGCCGCATCCGGCCCACGGAGATCCTTTGTTCACGGCAAAAAAATGTTTGTTAGAAGTGGTTGAGGTACTTTGCTCAGAAAATTCAAAACAATTTGAAACTCTAGCTTTGGGTATAAATACCTTTGCCCTCCATGTTGCAAACATTGATGAAAACATTGTGACTCAAATAGAGTCGCTGGACAGCTGTTCCATGTTTCTGGAACAACTACAGGGCAACAACTTGACGCACTTTCAGCAGTGCAAAGTCTTCATGGCCGAAGCAACAGCTGAGTTCCCCACATCATTTGCATGCAAGATCATCAAAGACCCCCAGCTGCAGTTTCAGCAACGGTTTTCTGACTATGACAGTCACCCCAAAGGATGCATGGAAGAAACTCTACTCTGGCCCGCGAACTGATTTTTGATAGTTAAAGCGGCCCTTCGGGCTGAAAAGTTTGGAGACCCCTGCTATCTTCTATATATATAATTCTCTTCTGGGAGCCGCGAGAAAACAAGCTGTAAACGCGCTCCCTACCACCCCCACCCCTATATGGTCTTAGTGAGCTGTGTTCACTCTAAATGTTTACAAGCAGAGCCGGGTTTAGTGACGGCTATTAGGGGCAGATAATTTAGTTTTAAACGATTTTAAACGTAGGGGGGGGGGGGGGAAGGGGGGGGGGGTTATGGTCCTTAACTAGCTATTTATAGTGTTTTAAAGAAATATTTTCAGTGGCAGCGTTGGTACTGTCGAATTCACAAATTATGAATTACTGAAAAGTAGAAAAAACAACAACTAAATAGCGGCGTATGTTATGCCGCCGGCCGGCTCATATAGTATATAGATCTAGGCATGGATAATTAAAAGAAAGAGTAAAAAAACACAACTCAGTGGTCACGCAGCTTTATTATTTAAAGGAAAATGGTGTAGCAATGGTGCCTACAATGCAACAATAAATTATCTAAAAATTAGAGAACATGCAACATTTAGGACATTTTATTGGAGTGTCAGCAACTGGGCTAGAAATGTATAATGAATGTTAAAATTAAGCAACTATAACTGCACGGGTCTAAACTAAGACAGTGGTTCCGAACTTTTTCAAGTTGCGACCCCCTTTTTATAAAAAAAAAAGTAAGTGATCCGCGACCACCATAGAATTAAGAAAAGTCGATATTAGTGGATTTTCTAGTAGACTTTGGATATGAATTATTCTTGATAACTGTTTAAATACGATGAGTAAAGTTGCATGCTATTACTAGCCTCAATATCCGCGGTTGAGTTTTCGTTAACGCAAACTCATGACATTATCAACCTTATTTATTTCTTTGTTTTGTTTTTAATAGGAGAAGTATTGAAAATCTCACAAGGATATGTAGACACAAAAAGGATCTAAAACTCGAAAGGCAATCAATTTAACGATTGGGTATAAATGCTGCATACTACATAAAAATTGTGTGAACAGTTTTTCATCTGACGCAGAATCATTTCGCAAATCCAAGAATTCATCGGGACTGCATGGCAACTTCAAGGGAAGCAGAGAATAGGTAACACGTCAATGTAGATTCTTCTTCTTTCAGCTCAGGGAAAATAATGCCGCAGATCGTTTTCAGGAGATTCAAGATGCCCAGAATACTCTTTCTAATTTTATTTATCTCACAATCAGATTCATCTACCACACTGCAGAGTTTCTCAAACATGGCAATATTTCCATGATTTATTTTTCTTCGCCGATTTTGAAGCTTTGATAAAAATGCCCCGAGATTATCACGAAAAGAGATAATATAAGTTCATTTTCCATGAAGCTTCAGGTTAAGCTTACGTTGATGTTCGAATATCTGCTAGGTATGCTACTCTCTCCAACCACTCTTTATCGTTAAAGTATATCAAAAGGTCTTGTTTCTCTTGCTCTTCAAGAACAACTTGATTTCATCTTTCAATGGACACGAGCGAGAAAACTCTCAAAGGTATTTGAGAGGTGTATAAATTAGTTTAAAAATCATGCACAGCGTAGTTACAATTAATATGGTTATAAAATCCTGTCTATCTGGTTTTTTTCGGACTTTACTAAAGATTGGATGTATTTGATGTTTATAATATTTTCGGTAACTAAATAAAAATTAAAAAAAAAGCAAAAACAATTTGGTTTTCACGTGTAATGGCGACATAAACAATGGCATCCTGCTATTGGATAGGCCGTCATTGATTTTATTGTACACATTGTAAGCTAAAAATAGAAAACTAGGTCACGGGGTTTTTAATTTGCATTGTTATTTAAAAACTTGATCTGCAAAGTTTTGTAAACAAATAGTTATCGATCACTAAGTTACTGTACAGCCAATCAATATTTGTCTTACGAAAGTGAAACATCCGGTTTTAACTTAGGCTTGATGAAAATAATTAGAAATGTAGCCTTAAACTCAACAAATTATTTTCAAGTTCTCTGGATTTGCAACTTTTATAGCATTTATTCTAAAAATATAAAATTTCTAAATTAATTTTAGGCTTAAGTTTTTTTTTTTTATTTTTTTTTTACGGTCTAAATCTTAAAAAGCACGTTTTTATTCCATGTCAACAACATTGGGGACGGAATCTCGTCAACTCGCTCGCCTCCATTCAAAATACACGATTCGCTACATTTCCTTTTGACAGCCAGCGTACTTTAGTGTATAAAAGCAGAACATTGTGATCTATATTCATGCCTTTGCACAGTTCTTTAAACAGACGGGTGTTAAGGGCTCCGGATTTAATATAATTTACGACTTTTACTACTGAATTAAGTGCCTCAAGCAAAGAAGTCGGCAGAGTCTTAGTGAATGATGCAGTGGATTTTCCTCGATTGGGGAGCTAAATCTTTTACCGTTTTCTGAAAGCCCGATTTTGACCCAAACATAGATGGCGCACCATCCGTACAAACCCCACAGAAATTTTCCCATTTTAATCATAAAAACGTATTTATTTTCTCCATGATATCTTCGCAAAATAGCAACTCTTCTTTGATATCATCTGAATGAATATATTTCACAAAGACAAGCAACTGCAAATACGAATTCAAGCATGTTGATTCATCAACTTGAAAAGCAAACAATGGTGAAAGCTTGATTTCATTCAAAATTTGTTCTTTAACATCTACGGACATGTCTGCTGAATAGTATTATTAGACAGAGATATTTGTTGCATCTTTACTGCACTGGAATCCCCAAGAATTAATTTCACCATCTTCAACATGCAGGGTTTGATGAGATTTTCTCTAATTGTGTTATTATTATTTATTTATTTTTGCTTGGCCATTTCTAATGCGACTTCATGTGATGCTTGCACTAATGCTCCCTTTCCTTGATGAACACGATGAAGTCTTTGACGTTTACAACTAGCTTCATGCCGACAAAACAACTCCATATCTTTTTTGGTGTCTTCCGAATGACTCGTCTCAAAATGACGTTTTAGTTTTGAAGGTTTCATGGGCTCATGACTAAGAAAAACTTTGCATAGCACGCTTTGTCAGAGTCGTAACTAGTGGAGGGCGGGTGGGGCGGCCGCCCCGGGCGCCGACCTCAAGGGGCGCCAAAAGGGGTAGAGAAATTAATTTAAAAGCTCATTTTAAGCTAAAGTATAGAATTATACACTGTCAAAGTTACGAAAATAAGCAAATACAAGGCTTTACACACTGATTTAGCTGTTTTTTATATCAATTTTGTGGCACCGAAATTAAAATGTTACGGGTTAGTAGCTGGTAAGAAGTGCCACAAACCTTTCCAACTGAGGTGGGGGGCGTTTTTTTCACAGACAGGAATAACTATATATAGAAATAGGAGGGAGGGGACGCAAAGTTGATAGTCCGCCCCAGGCACCTGAATAGGTCGCTACGCCTCTGCGCTTTGTTTCTTCTCTATTCCTTTTCCAGTCTTTCTTCTTCTTCTTCTTCGTTCTTAATTATTAGTGTTGAAGGGGATCGAGACTTTGTTCGAATTTATCAACCATGTGCTTTTTTTTTCCGACTCGACCACGCCTCCAACACAATTAAGCGTTACGTGTCAACTGGTTATGTGCCATTGAGGCCATTGACTCCGATTTCAGCCTGCTTTTCTTTTTGGATTTGCTTCCATAGCCTTTGTCCAACCAAGAACAAACTACAAGGCAGCAGGTGTTTTAATTTTGGAGTTGTCTCTCCTAGAAGAGTGGCTGTCCCCAGCTAACGAGCCTCATCTGCCCGAGGGTTCGAACTCGAGACTTTTCAGTTTAGCAACCATGAGCTTTACCGACTCGACCACGCCGACCCCTCCTTTTCCAGTGATGTTGGGTTAGGTTAGGTTAGGTTAGGTTTGGTTTGCCTGTCGTCCCTCTTGGGACATAGGCCGCTGACAAGAGCTTTCCAGGCGTCTCTGTCCTGGGCTAGTCTCTCCAACTGTCCCAAGGTGTGTCCAATCTTCTTGGTGTCTTCTTCCAGGTCACGTCTCCAGGTCTTTCTTGGTCTGCCTCTCCTCCTCCTGCCCTGTGGATTCCAGGTGAAGGCCTGTCTTGTTATGCTGGATACAGGCTTCCTGAGTGTGTGGCCAATCCATTTCCATTTTCTCTGGGGGGATCTCTACTTCAGCTGGCAGTTGATTTGTCCGTTGTCATAGACCAGTCGTATTTCCCAATATAATCTTTGTATTTTATGGGAAAAACAGAGGGTGATTTCAAAACGGATTTGAGGGCACTTACCTTCTTTACATCTGGCT